TCTACAGTACGTTAGGTTAGCGGTTAGTGTTGGCTTCTTCTGTGTCAAATGTTAAACAATCTCACGTTTATGGTGGAGCAACATAGTCCTGTTTTCTCTAATATCAGCTGAAATCCTGAGGAAACATTTAAAATGGCCATCCAGTGTTAATTTCTATGTAAACCTCCCATTTAAGCCAGTGGTCATTCAGTAATTCAACATCATAATCAATTCGTGAGCACATGTGTAGTGTTTGTCCTCGGAGCGCTCTGATTGGACGACCTCACGGCAGACCCGCCCCTTTCTCCGCCCAGCTGCTCTGTGATTGGACAGCCGACTCTCTGCTCATGTCTCTCCATATAGAGAACTGCTCGTACGGCACCGCGAGGCCCGCTGGGAAATGAAGTCCGAGCTCCGTTCGGCAACAGGCGATACGCTCCTCAAAGAACTACAATTCCCAGGAAAAGAGGCAAAAAGGGGCCGAAAGGAGTCTTTAGAGTAGCTGAAAAGGAAAATACATTGAAGTGGTTTAGCGGAGGATTCAACTTTGTATCTGCCATTAAAAGATATGACTGAGGGAACGTAAGTATTTAGTTTTATTTAATTACAATGTCGCAGAAAAATGCTTTATTTCTGTAATAATAGTGATGTTAAAGCGATGTGAGGTAAGTTTCTGTCATTTACAGTGAGTTACCTTCATTCTGTCAGTCAGTAAATATATAATATATATGTATATAAACCGCATATATTAAATTCAGTAGTTGAATGTGACATTTACTGTAGTATTTATTGTACTTTAACCTTCTTCTTCACTATATTTAAGTGGGAATCATTCATTTATCTTATCATTTAACAGGAGGAGCTGCAGTCTTAGATAGATTACACACACATAGATTTTACAAATAAGATATGTTATATGATATAGTATGTAAACGTAAAAGAAAACATTAAATAGCTGCTTATATTGTTATGCATCAGTAAATATAATCATCATTATAATACTAATATGTGCCTGCTAAAAACATTATTCATTTTGCTGACAGTGTTTCTCCACCAGTTTATAAATACACTTATAATTAAAATATACGTACAATTAACTTTAGGCAATCATTAAACCAAGTTTAAAAGCTTTTAAACCCACAATCAAATACCTATGATACACACCGATAAAAAACACCTGTATTATTGATACTTTATAGTTGAGTTCAAGAATCCAACATTGTATTGAGATGATCTGACCTTAAGATACACTCTGTGTGTGCTGTAGGCAGCTGCGGAGGCGAGGGGGTCCGTACAAGACCGAGCCAGCCACAGACCTGAGCCGCTGGAGGCTGACTAATGTCGAGGGCAGGCAGACCTGGCGCTATGTGGAAGATCAGGACACCCCAGACAGAGAGCAGACAATGATGGAAGCCCATTCTCTAGGCTTGGACACGGTAGGCTTTGAACAACAGTATATAAATAAAACAGACACAGTATAGTGCGTTTAAAATGAATGATTTCAGAGGCATCTCTGGAGATTACTACATTATCAGGGTAGAAACTGATAGACTTACTGATTGTTATGTACAAAAACTGTAGTAGATAGACTATAAACTGTTAGTTGTTTCTGTAAACTGTAACCAAAGTAGCTGGTAGACCTCTTACATGTAGAATATTTGGCTGCTGTTCATTTCTAATCACCAGTTTTCTCCACAGAGTAAGTTTGTGTCTGGCTCCCCAGCTGCCCACACAGCTGTAGATGCAGCTCTGAAAGGTATGAACTTCTACAGCCACCTCCAGGCCGAGGACGGTCACTGGGCAGGTGACTATGGAGGGCCTCTCTTTCTGCTCCCAGGTAAAACCAATGTTGCTATATTTTACACCTGCAGCAGCTATATGTATATATATATATATATATATGTATATACGGCAGAGGATTTCATGACACCAGTGTTTCTGTGCATGTGCTGGCTGTCAATGTATCGTCCATTTCTGTGCTTCAGGTCTCCTGATCACATGCCATGTGGCTAAGATCCCTCTGGCTGAGGCCTGGAAGAAAGAGATGGTGAGATACCTGCGCTCCGTTCAGATGTCAGACGGAGGCTGGGGTCTGTAAGTCAACAGCACACAATTTATTTTGTCTTTTTACATCCACACATGTCAGGATTTTATGTTTTTGTACTTCTGAGTAACTTCTAACAGATCGGTATTGGCTATGTTGAGCTATATTGACCCGATCCGACCCTTAATTTGGTGCTTTTACTCGCAAAGCTTTCATGCACAGTGCAGCCGACATGAACTCTCTCCTTCACTCAGCTGAGCTCTGTGTGCAGGAGCTCAGTCCTGCCAGCAGTGAGCAGTAAAAAGTCTTGGGTGCAGGCGTTCTTTTCTTCTTCCTACAATTCACCTGTATCATCTAAAAATAAGTTATATAAGTATAAGTATTATATAAGTATAAGCAGCAAAATAATAATTAGAAGAGGAATGTGTGAAAACGTAGATGGTCAGACTGTCTGGCAGCATTGTAGATGTAGATAATAATATGTTTTGGGTTTTTTTCAGACATATTGAAGACAAGTCCACTGTCTTCGGCACAGCGCTGAGTTACACCTCATTAAGGATCCTGGGAGTAGAGCCTGATGATCCAGATATGGTTCGAGCCAGAAACAACCTGCACAGCAAAGGTGGGTAAAAGCAAAGGTAATACTAATACACTGATTACTGACCATCTTTCTGTACTGATAGCTCGCAGCTATACAAACATACTGCCACCCCAGAAAGCAGATTTTTTAAATGGGTATTATGTTACTGCTTTCTGTTAAAGAGTTCCTGCTAATTTAATGTGAGCTATAGTCCATGCTTATAGTAATAATGATTATTTATGGTAATAGCTTCATACTAAAGCTGTCTGTGTTTTGTATTCTGTACAGGCGGCGCTGTGGGGATTCCCTCGTGGGGTAAATTCTGGTTGGCCATTTTAAATGTTTACAGTTGGGAGGGAATGAACACCCTGCTACCAGAGATGTGGTAAGTTGGAAAAAAGCTTCAGGATCTCATTTGAGATTAGACGAAAGCATGATTATGTTGCCCAGTACAGAAGTGGCATTACTTTTAAACTGAGACTGTGATATCTTGAATTTTCTCAAGGTGGTGCTCTTGTCTTTATTTTCTCAGCCACGGTGGCCATTGCTGCCCATGCTTACTAGGAAAAGGAGAGGTTGTCCAACACTGGAAGTCGCAACCCCCTAAAATGTATATTGACGCAATATTTAAACCCCGAAAGGATTCGTCACAATTTTGCTATATTTTGGGTAGATCGAGTAGAGAGAGACAGGAACTTTTTTAGGCGTTCTCAAATGAACAACCTCTCCTTTTCCTTTGTATGCTGTTCTCATGTACCCGACTGAGGTTGGATGTGCTCACTTTCCACCTTTTTAGCTCGTTCAACTGCCAGTTCCCTTTCTTCTGCTTTCTTCTGTTGCTGCGGCTAGAAATGTAAATAATCCCTTCTTTTTTCATGGCAAAGACCAGACATCAAGTGTTTAGAACAGTAAAAACTTTCATGCAGTGAGACTCAGACTCAGTCACTGCTGTTTATATTATGTATATTATTAGCTGTCTGCACCACAGTAAGACAAAGAAACTAAATATTTTCTGCAGTGTGAACATTTTTTCTTCTGTTTGTAATTTTGTCTCTTCCAGGTTGTTCCCCACTTGGATGCCGGCCCACCCCTCTACCCTGTG